ATACTGCAAGCTTTGGTGTCGATCCGATACCAAGTAAATACTGGACCAGTATCGCCGATATCGATATCAATACCGGTACTTTTTGACAATTAATGCATTACCAAATATAAATACATTTTCATGACTTTCAGGTGTTTTGTGTTTTGTTTTAAATTGTATTATTAATTTAATAAAACCCAGACAAAGTTCAACAGTAAATAGAAAGAACTATATTGTGGCGACCCTGACCGGTCGCAAATGTTCATGTGTTCTGTTCTGGCCAATGTGGGATGGGGGGAGGAACAGGTGCGGGAGGAGATAAAAGGGATGGCAGGTGGGCGTTTTTGTTTAGACTCTGTTGGCGCGGGACACGGGATGCCCAGAGGGAATGTTGTCACCGTTTTTCAGTTCGTATTTCATTTTCTCCTGTGAGCACACGGTGCCAGGTAAAACAGTTATGTTGTATTCTCTGTTCTAATAAAACCCCAAAAGACAACGAAGGTGTTCTCCTCCTTGTTGAGCCAGGTGCCGGCACACAGCTGGCTAGTTAGCTGTCTCAGTATAGGTCAGGCTCGGCCAGCTTCTCCCGACCTAGCTAGCGGTCGTCACAATATGAACATTTTAACACCTCTTTGCTGTAAAAATACAACCATATTTTGTGAGTGCAGCCTCAGACTGAAAATACCGCTGGCTGTAAACCATACACATGAGGCTGGATGGAAAGAAAGATAGAGTCTACAGTATATAGACTAGCCCATACAATGGTAAGAAAAAGTAATTGAACTGTTTGGTTTTCTCCATGAATTGGTCATAAAATGTCATCCAGTCTTCTTCTGTCAAAAATTTAGACAGACAGTAGGCAGAGGAGCGAAAACTTTTGGCAATATAGTGTAACCGGCGGGTTGGCCACGCCTACACCGCCTGGTTAGTAATTTGTCAGAATAATCATGGATATAAATAACACCTGGGGAGACGCTGTTGCGATAAGCAATGTTTGTGCTGGTCGCTGCCGTAACCGGTCTGAAGTGAATCTCCCTCCATTGAGCTGTGTCCGGCTTCTCCTTTAAGGTATGTTCAACAGGCTGATTGTAGATCGGATCTGTTGCAGTGTAAAGTGTTTAATCAGGTTGTTTTGGTTGTAGACTGTTTTTAGGAGATTGCCGCATGCTCTCCAGGAGCGATAATCGATGCGAGCGTGATCCAGTAGAAGTTGGCGTCCATAACACATGTTATGCTAGGGGGACGTGCAGCCAATGTAACCTGTAGCATTGTTGGTTTTAATTGTTTTGATGGTTTCTATGTTATTTATTAACAGTGGCTTTACTTGTTGCAGGGGTGATAGCCACTGCTGTTTTGCTTATGTAGTGTTTTGCTTATTCAGCGTTTTGCCTTGTTTGCTTTTATGTTAAGAGGTTTACCTAGCATTATGTTCCCTATTTATTGTATTGTTTCCAAATAGGGTTTAGTCAATTTTATGGTGTGAACAGTGTGTGAATGGTTTTATGCACAGGGAGGCAAGGCCCTCTTATATTTGGTTGATGCATGATTAATTGATTTGTGGTATTAATTTAATGGTGCCTTTTAACCTGTTGACTCTGACCATTTTATTCCTGTTCTGCACTGTATTTATTGAGTGGGGGTAAACTTCTTGTAGGTAGCATTTTAGCTTCTGGGGTTAGGCTTCTTAAAACATTTTCATTGTTAAATTATACTTTGACTCGTAGTTTTATCTGTGTGAGTAACTCCAACGTCTCCGTGTTTGCAGATCTATCTGGGGTAGCAGCTCAGTACTGGGGAAGTTTGCATGAATTTGACCTCTGAAAACACGAGGGGTGTTATTCTTGGGGAACTACTAAAAGTTACTACGGTCTGAGTTGCCTAGGCCTGTATATTGGCCCGGTCACAATAGTGTACTTTGAAACTTGATCCCCCTCACAGAACTGCTTCAGCTCAGCCATTCGTCTGGTGTGAATGGTTCTCTGAGCTCATTTCATGGCACCTCTGTTGTGCTGAGGTCTGGGCTCTGACTGGACCACTCCAAATGGCAGATTTTCTTGTTTTGAAACCATTCTGTAAGAGATTTACTTTAATGTTTAGGGTCACCATCACTGTCACCAATCTTCTCCTGAGCCTCAGCTGGTGCACAGCCACCCTGTAGGAGTCCTTGATAAACTTATTTTCCCCTCCATCGTTGCAGCTGTCCAGCCCCAGAGGCAGCAACACAGCCTCACATCATGATGCTCCTTTCACCATACTGTAGCAATGTGATGAGGTTTCCATGTTGGTACTGTCCAAAAAAAAAAAACACGGCTGCAAAAGAGCACCTTGACACACTGATTAAACTAAGATTGAATTGTTTGAATCATTTGGAAAGAACACATAGCACTACATATGGCGTCAAATGGAATCACATACCAACATGAGGTCAAGGTCAAAGGTCAAGGTAAAGTGTTTATCTGGCATATGGACAGTTAGGAAACATGTTTCCCTGTACAATGAAATTCTTACTTTGCCGTCCACATGAAAGCCACATAATACAAGTGAAACATAAAGTAGATGACCAATAACACAAATCTAAATAGGCAGTAACACAAATCTAAGGTACTTTAAAAGCAGCAAATGAAGGGAGCAAATAAAAATACAACAAGAACACATTAAAATGCAGAGAGAATATTGCTACATGGGAACCGTGGAGTGCAAATACTGTGTGCAATTGTGCATGTGCAAAACAAGTATGTAAACAGTACAGATGGAATTATGAGGTAGATCCTGAGTCAGCTGTTTGAGTCTGATGGCAGAAGAAAGAGTTTTTCAGTCTAGAGGTCCTGCATTTCACACGTCTGAGCCTCTGACCGGAGGGTAGGGGTATGAACAGTCCGTGCTGGTGGATGGTGGGGTCCTTGAGGATGGTGGCAGCTTTCCTACGCACCCTGCGGTGGTAAATGCTCTGCAGAGAGGCCAGTGGAGTCCTGGTGATCTTCTCCAGTCTTTACCACTCTCTGCAGGCGCTTGCAGTCCATACCAGTAGTGCTGCCATACCAGACAGTGATGCAGCTGGTCAGGATGCTCTCAACGATGCAGCTGTAGAAGTTGCAAAGGACCCTAGGCAACATGCCAAACCTCCTCAGCCTCCTCAGGAAGTACAGCCGCCGTTGGGCCTTCTTGACCAGCTGTGTGGTGTTAAGTGTCCAGGTGAGGTCCTCAGAGATGTGGACGCCCAGGTATTTGAAGCTGCTCACCCCCATCCCTTGTGTTCTGTTCAAATGTACTACACGCTCCCTCTGTTCGGCTCTGTCAGACCCGGAGCATCTTTATGGCTGTGTAACTCCACATAATCAAAGATGTTTTATTCCTAAACGGTGTAAAAACCTAGCACTGATCCACAAATGTTAAAATTTGCCCTTTACCTTTTTTAGATTATACAACATCAGGGTTAAAACTATGTTATAGTCAAATTTGGCCAGAGGAAAAAATAATACATTTACAAATAAAGTAAGATTTTTCACACCTGCTCATTTCTATTTGAATGACACGCATTGAAGGGGTTGGGGACACATGTAGGGAAGTCTACCAAACAAGCACAAGCTGAGCACTCGGTAGCTATTTACACAACAAAGGCCCCCCATTTGCAGAGTGTTTTGTACTATACGCTCCCTCTGTTCGGCTCCCCTGGACCCAGAGCATCTTTATGGCTTTGAAAGTCCACATAATCAAAGATGTTTTATTCTGAAACAATGTAAAAACCTACTAATAATCAACAAATGTAAAAATTTGCCCTTTACCTATGTTATTGTAATATTTGGCTAGACAAAAAAATAATAAATTCACAAATGATGCAAGACTTTTCACACCAGGTCATTTTTATTTGACCCACACTAATTTCAACATTTGGTAAACTTTGCCAAAAAAAACACAAGCTGAACAGTCAGTAACTATGTACATATTTACACATTTACACACACACACACACACACACACACACACACACACACACACACACACACAGCCACCCCCCATCGAACGCAGCCACTTCGTGTGTGTGTGTTGCAAATGTATGTGTTGCACTGGGTGCATGTATATTGTGTTTTCCTCTCTGTCTTGGGCCCACACAATTGCTTCTTGGTTGTGGTTCCGGCAGCAACCTAGAAAAATGAAAAGATAAGAAATTAGAATTTGCACTTAGTCTCTCTCTCTCCCCCCCCCCAAAGCATGAGTGTCACACATACAGTATTATGCCACAGCATTACACACTTACCTGAGGCTGTGGTGATTGTGAACCTGTAGGTCTGGTTAATGGGCCAGCTGCATCCTCCCCCTGAATCCTCCTCATGATGGCTGCAGAGGCTGGTGTTCGTGGAACATGCTGTCTTGTCTGCATGTACGGTGTCACCAGGGCCTTACCCAGTTCCTCCATGAAAAATCTCCTTCTCTGGAGCTTCCTCCTGTTCCACTCTGGGTTCACAGCTGTCCAGACAACAAAGGCATTGTACGCTGAGATGTCCAACATGTCAAAGAAGATCACCAGTGGCCAGCGTAGTGTCCTCCTCTTGCAGCTGTATGCAGTCACCATGTTGTCCACCCCTCCTTTTGTGGCATTGTAGTCCAGGATAATCTGTGGTTTTTGGCCACAGATTGTCCCATCTCTATGCAGTGTGCTCATCAGAAGAACATTCTTTCCTTTTCTTGGAACATAGGAGACCAGGGTCGTGTCAGCCGTGTACATGAACATGGCGGAATTTATAGGCCTGTCCTTTGTCTGCAGCAGTTGTGGTGGGAGCTCTGGCTTGTTCTTACAAATCGTTCCCACCATGGTCAGCTTCCTCTTCAGCAGTTCCTGTCCCAGCTTGTAAGAGGTGAAAAAGTTGTTGCAGGTAATGTTGTGACCCTTGAGTTTTTCCACACAGGTCCAGGACAACTCTCATCGCCTGGTTACGCTCAGGGACTCCTCCCTCAGGTTTCCCTGTGTACACCTGCAGGTTCCAGGCATATGACGTAGCAGCATCGCAGGCAGCCCAGATCTTGATGCCATACCTAGCCGGTTTCGATGGCATATACTGCCTGAATGGGCAGCGGCCCCGAAACGGCATCAGCTGCTCATCGACGGTGACATTAGGCCTGGGGTTGAAAAGCTGGGGGAGGCGGTGCACCCACTTGTCCGTCCGGATGGCTGCAAGCTTGTCTGTCTGCCGTCGAGCTGGTAAGTCGTCTCGGTTATCGAACCGGAAAACCCTGGAAATGATTTGGAATTTGTCCAAGGACATTGTTGCCCGGAATATTGCCCTGCCGTTTTCAGCTGACCACAGGGAATGCAACGATTCTCCATTGGACCTGAAGACTCCAGCCAGGTACAGCAGACCAAGGTAGGCGTACATCAGTATCATGTCTATGACCTTCCACCTCGCTCCATAAACACGCCTACCTTCGCGGTTTGTGCAGTCCAGGATTATTTGGAGGATCGAATCTGGCATTAGCTGATGGAAAGCAGACTTGATGTCCGTGACATGGCTGATTGCCATTCTAGTTGGCCCTGGTTCCATTGTTATAACATTAGCTGCAAGGCGGGGTGGAGATTATTGTCCTCGCACCAAGACACCAGACTGGCCCCCTCCCTCCTGTAGGCTGCTTTGTCCCCCGCCTATCTCTCCGGTGTCGTTCGCGAACTTTAGGATGATGTTGGCTTTGTGGGAGGCGACAGATGATGAAAACATCATTTGAAGTAATTGCTGCCAAAGCAGCTTCAGCCAGTTATTAAATCCAAAGCTTCACTTACTTTTTCCACCAGCACTTGGAATGTTTAATTGCAGGGTTAATAAAGACATGAAACATTAGAACAGTTTGTGTGTTGATAGATTAAGCACATGCTGTTTGTCCATACTTGTAAGTTTGATTAAGATCAGATCACATTTTATGACCAAATTATGTAGGAAAAACAGGTAATTCCAAATGTTTCAGTTACTTTTTCTTGGCAATGTATATTATCAGTAAATACTTCTTAGAACTTTGCAGTTATGCTAAGATACATGAATTTGCTGTTGGCTTTTATGCTTAAAAATTATCTGACTTGAGTGAAAGCGTTATTTGTTTCACTAAATTTTCACCAATATCTGTGTTACCTTGGTAAAGCACATTAAAAATTGGCCACCTCCGTCTGGATCATAACATGGCCTGTTGTACATGCACAAATACTGAGCTGACAATGCCAGGGTGAAAAAGAATGAATGAACTCTCAGCTTGAAAAGTAAAATGTAATTAATAACCTTGTTGTTGCATGTGAATAGACTTTATAGAGCCCACCTACATACAGTATGTGAGGTTGTCTGTTCATAGAGGTGTTGAGAGTGCTAGAAAATGAGAGGTGCTTCCAACGCTTTACATAATGAGATCACCTCTCATTTAATTCTTTGTTAATTGAAACCACTGTGCGTAGACCTGAAGGACATTTCAGAGCTGTATATGATGTAGTTTCACAGTCTGTTACATTAACTCTGGTTGTATTTTCCCTTCTAAATGAAGTGCACTGTATTCCAGGATATAAACAGGTGGCTCACCCTTTGGTTGTTGATAGTTTATATTGTAAATGAACCTCCCTTTCCTTCAGTAATGCCACAAATACACCTGGGGTGATAGAATTAGTTTCAGGGAGAAAAATACAACTACAGAATTTCCTAGTTCTTTTAGGATGTTTACAAAAGTTAACCAGCAACATTTTCATTTAGCTTTGTATAGAGCCCTTGGGCCAGGTGAGACATGTCAACAGGCTGCATCTCAACCCATGGGCCATATTATACCCAGATCTGCTCTGCTGAATGTACTACTTCACTGGTTTGCTTGTGATATAATTACTATGGACACTAGAGATCACCTAACTGTAACATAGACTGTAATATGCTGCTGGCACAAACAACATATGGAGTCTTTTGTTTTTACAGCAGTATAGTCTCCAGTGGTTTCACCAATACACCAGGGGTAAAGGTTTTTTAAATATTTAGAATTTAAAGCCTTTAACTAGAAGGTATTAATATTTATTTATTTATTTATTTATTTGTAGAATGCTAGGAATGTTTGTCATTCTCTCTGTGTCAGTCTTCCTTTTGCTCTTCTGTCCCTGTTATTAACTGACATGTTCAACATTTCATCCCTATTAATTTATTGTTTCAGTAGTGCTGAGTATTCACAAGGCTGCCTTTGTGCTTGTTTTCATTCATATACTCTTGGACAACTAAATTTGAATTAGTGAGTTTATAGGTAAAACTTAAAATATACGACAATGACATTGCATTTGAGTCTTTATGCACTGTCTCACTTCCCCTGTCATAAAGTTGTGTAAATTGTTAGGTATTTTTAGTCAGATAGATATTGGTTAGGTACTTGTATGTATTAGAAATGTTTAGTGGAGACAGGATGCCTACTTAGACTGTTAAATGCTTAGTCATGCTCATGAGTTTTTACAGGGTACATATGGTCAAGGATAACTAGATAGAAAAGTTGATGACTGTCAGCAGACAGGATGATAATTGTAGCCTTAGCCATAATATTTTCTTATGTTTAATGTCATGACATGTCGCTAGAGGTCGTGTGAGAATGTTTTTAGTTACACACCACGTAATCAACAGACAATCATACATTGATTTTCTTCATGTTTTGACTACTGCTCTGGCCAGCTGCATAGTTGGCATATCAGGTGGCGTCACGGTTTGACGTGCCTGTGTAGTATGGGGCTAGCCCAACCGAAGAGATAAATGTATAGGCCTGTTGGGGTTCAGGGTCTTTCATCTGCCTGTGTGCAGGTTGGAGGTGCAAGATACCTGAGCGTGTAATGTTAATTTTGCCTGTGATCCTTTGAATAAATCAGCACTGTTTTGAAGTTACTTGGACTGCCTCGTCTCTCAGAGTTAGCATGGTAGCAAGAACTGGGTAACCCTTCAAAATCCTGGCAATTCAACAGTCACAGTTTCTGTTTTCTGGAGAAACTGGAAGACAATGGGGAGAATGAAAAAGAAAATTTTACAGTTTAAACTTAAGCGTGCCGTCTTATTCCTGTACAATCCACTACATCTCTTCTGTGCTTCTCGTCATTCTCCACAATGTGCAAAAACACCGCTGTCAACCTTTTTACAGATGAATAGTTGGGTGGTGTCTATTTTCAGCAGTGTTATGGACATTTGGGGATATGATGGTGATGTGTTTTAATAGCCCTGCTTGTCAGAATCAGTTCAAATCTCATCAGACCAAATGAAAAGTGACAGGGGAAGGAGAGAACCAGGAGCTTGTTAAAGCTGCTGGGGAGCTGTCCAGAGCAACCCAGCCAACTGACCCAAGTCACGTACAGTATCACCTCATTATGTCTCCTCTCTCAGATGTTTCTGACAGTTTTGCCAAATTCTTTCTGGCTTCATTTAACCTTTTTTCTTCTTTGGTGTGCTGGAACCAGTAGATTAACAGCTAAACAGCAGATAAGGATGTTTTGTTGTTATGTTAAAAAGGCAAATGTCATCCTGATGGCTTCTCGGCTACTTCCTGGTTCCAGGCTCTTATTTTGTCAGCTTCCTCCCCACCCTGTCTGGCAGGCTCCAGCTTTACTATTGTTAATTGAACACAGCTGGAGCTTATTGAGACTCATCACCAGAAAGCTTTATAAGATGGCTTGTCTGATGATTGTCAGTAATGGATTAGTAATAATCTCTTAGTACACACATGAGAACTAATAGCTATTATACTGACATTAGAATGGATTGAAGAAAACAAACCATTAAAAGTCCTAATTGGATCAGATTCTAGCAGCACTTTGAGTATTGGGGGCAGACAGTTTCTACCTCAGTATCACTTGATTCTCATCAATACAATTGTAAGATATATAAGCAAGGAAAATAAATGTATTAAAAATAACCAAAGCTCAGTAGTTCTGGACAATCATCAATACAGCTGTAATATGTATAAACAAAGAAAATAAATTTATGAAAGGTAACTAAATGGAACTAAAGGTATGAGAAGTAACTAAAGCTTATAAAGTAACTAGAGCCTCTAAGAATCAACTCTTACAGCCCTCTCATCCAGACTTATAGAGGGACTGGTAGAGAGCATCCTCACTACTGGTATCACAGTCTGGTATGATAACACCACACAGGCAGAGAGGAAGGCTCTGCTCTTCAAAGGGTCATAAAGACTGCAGAGAGGATCACTGAGACTGAACTGCCTGCTACACAATATACTGTACACACAGTGCTGTCGTAATAGGGTGGAAAACATACTCAGAGACCCACGCCACCCAGCTCTCTCTCTGCTCAGACACAAAAACTGCACCTACAGCCTCAGGCACAGCAGGGTGGACAGTATCATCACACACAGAACTAGACTTTACAACAGCTTTTTCCCTGCCGCAGCAAGACTGATGGCAAATCCAAAATGTGAGAATATAAAGTATGTGCAATAACCCCTTACTAGACATGAGCAATAATAATACAGAAATGCTCCACAAGGTATGTTTGTAAGAGCATCTCATCAGCAGTGTTCTCTTGGGGGACCTGAATAATAGCAGGACATTCTCTACCAAGCAATGGAAACAGGCCTTAGTATGTTTAGTATGTTATAACCCCTCACTACATCGCCAAGTGTAATGACATATCCAACTCCACCATGTGAATTACTAAGTGTGATGTTTGAAGGTCACTGGGGAAAATACTATTACCTATTTTTGTGCATTGCGGTTTTAATGCTTTGTTGCCTTTATGTAACATTTTTTATTTTAAGACTAAGTGTTCTTTCTGGCTTTTTACTCCTTACCTGACTCCAAAGGAGAGCTGCATAAGAATTCCTATATGCTGTTTATGCATATATGGCAAATAAAATCTTGACTTGACTTTTAGAGACAACATTTTACAGCCTCCCCTGTGGTTACCTGGTGAATAGCATGCATCATGTGTTGTGAAACCAACCACCCTTGGGGTTGTACCAGTATAATAATATTGCTAATAACAGAATAAACCAATACTATAGGGTTATATGTAAATGTAATTATTTGGTCGATGTATTGTGCAGAAAATACAGACCAGAGTTTATCATGCTCTAGTAACATTCAATCAAGACAAGAAGCATGCAAAACACTCAGTGTCTGAAATAATAAATAAATAAATATAACAAGCCCTGGACACATAAATGATTAAGCCTATTCATGTAAATAATTTCCCTTAACGGATGTGGCAGATTTTATTAATCTTCAAAGTTTATGAATCACCTTCTAAAAAAAATGTATGTAAAAAAATATGTTTGAACATGTTATCAATCTAAAAGCTGGCAGGTCCCAGCCGCTATCTTGAAGTGTCGGGGCAGCTCCTTTTTGTCCTCTCCCCTACACTGCCAGCCTGCCAGTCCAAGCTCAGCCTCTGCCCATTCCTGGGTTTCATTCCTACACTGCCAGTTTGTAGTCCAGGTTCAGCATCACTCCTGCTTACCCTCTACAGACCAGCTGCTGCATTCCCAGCCTAACCAGCCCCTACGACCTCCAGTACCACTCAACCCTGCACTTCTCTTGCGGTGCTTCACGACCTACTCCAA